CACACACACACACACACACACACACACAAACTCACACAGTCACATAGTCACACACACACTGACAGACACACATACTCACACACACACTGACAGACACACTCACTCACACACACACTGACAGACTCACTCACTCACACACACACTGACAGACATACTCACTCACACACACACTCACTCACACATACACAAACTCAGTCACATAGTCACACACACACTGACAGACACACATACTCACACACACACTGACAGACACACTCACTCACACACACACACTGACAGACACACTCACTCACACACACACACACACACACTGACAGACACACTCACTCACACACACACTGACAGACATACTCACTCACACACACACACACAAACTCACATAGTCACACACTCTGACAGACTCACATACTCACATGCACACACACACACACAGAAATTAAAAATCTTAATTAAATTTAAATTTCCCACCCAGCCTCCCTACCTGGAGAGCTGGCGTGGGTCTCTCATTGGTGGTCCAGTGGGGCTGCTGGGAGGCAATTGGATTCCTAGGTGGCGAGGGAGCTGTGATCTCTCTGATCTGCTCCCTCGCAGGCTGCTGACTGATGCCGCGGGAGCGGGAATATGACGTCATCAGTCAGCAGCCTGCGAGGGAGCAGATCAGAGAGATCAGAGCTCCCTCGGCATCCAATTCAGCCGCAAGCCGCGCCGGGGATCCAGGAGGTGACCTGGCAGGAGGGAGCACTTCCCTCCTGCCGGTCACTGGAATTTTGCGCCCCCAGAGCCGGTGCGCCCTAAGGCGGCCGCCTGTGCCGCCTTATGGACGCGCCGGCCCTGATCGGAATGCAGAGACAGTGTTGCCAGTAGTGACCAAAAAGCAGCCTAGATCTCAGCTTACGGGCAGGGCCCTCCCTACCTTTTGTATTTGTCTGTGTATATTGTCCGCCCTCCACTAATTGTACAGCGCTGCGGAATCTGTTGGCGCTTTATAAATGGCAGTAATAAATAAAATAAATAAATGGGAAAGCATGATATACACCGATTGTACAGCGCTACGGAATCTGATGACGCTATATAAATAATAAAATAGTAATAATAATCATAATATAGACATAACCGTTAAAATGGCTAATCCCAAGTTTGTGGACGGTTATTACCCTCTTCCTGATTTTGGTCCGTTTCCTCCTCTTTATAACGGCCTCCGAGCAGTAAATTATTACCAGGGATGTACGGTTCTTTGTCCAAACTCATGCAGAGGCTTACGAGGAGGAGCAGTACAATCGCAGCCATTGAGACGTCCCTCGTGGGCTGGTCCCAAAAGGCTGTTGATGTCATGGTACCGACCTTCCCATAGTTATCTCTTTTCCTATTGGCTACTGTAGACTAACCTGCCAACTATCTTTATTTCTGTTGGACGGAATGTTCGTCGACACTGTGACTTTATTCTCACCTGCAATTAATTCCTATAACATCGGATTTACAGCTGCTGTCATTGGCGTTTATGGACTTGCACACGTTCAAGGGACTGTATATATAAATTTCATGTTTAGGGGTTTTTTTGTGCATTATCTAAAGAAATGCAATAAAGTTACTGACAAAAAATAAATTAATTAAAATAAGAATGAACAAAAAGCTATGATTGAAGTTTAAAGCAGGACACAGCTTAGTAGGTCTGTCTGCAGGTGCCCAGTGTGGCGAAATTAACATCGCCACTTGTACTTGGAGAGGCCTGCTTGCCAGCCTCTTGCCCCAGGATTATGGGCCCTGCAAACACACATGTGACTTCCATGGAAAAAACAAACCACTGAACCGATCTGGATGATTTTTGGATATGTTGATCACCCAGATCAGGGCTATCCGAGGATTAGTGGGGTTACCATGGATCTTGGGGTACTTTTGGGGTATTTGTAAATTGTGTATTTTTCTGTACCTGAAGATAATCAATTATCTCTCAGACACAGAGGAGGAGTATGTTGAATGTATTGCTTATCTGTGCCTCTCCTCCCCCCCCTTTTTCCTGTCCTATTGTTTCCCCAACAGGACGTTGTCCCAGGGATACTGCGAGATCAGTTTAAACTAGCTGCTCTGTCCCTCCTCAATCTCCCATCAGCCCTTGCTATTGGCTGACCCCACCCTTCCTTGTACTATAGTAATCTATGTAACCTATTGTATGTAAATGAGGCTGTTGGGGGTTTAAATGTGTGTATAAATTGTAAGTGTTGGCTTGCATTAAACAGAACTACTTGACCCTTTCTTGAAGCCTTGGCTCATGCTTGGGGGATGGGATAACTACACTCTTGGGGATTGCTATATCACAATACTCCCCTGAGTATAAGCTCCTGTAAGAGCTTGTTCCTGCTCTCTGGAATTAGGAGTAGTTCACCCACTGGAAGCTGGATCCTGGCCCTGGATCCAGGGTGGGTGAGAGACGGCGAGACCCCGGCGCAGCTGCATCGCTGGAAGTGGGGTCTTCAGTGCGGATGGTGTCGATTGGAGTGCCTGGAGTCCTCGGCAAACACTAGGAGCATCGATTGGCGGAGGTACTCGGTCGGAGTGCCAGCGGTCCGTCACACCCAGCAAGAGATTATGGGATAGGTCAGGCTTCCCCAAACTTCGGCCCTCTAGATGTTGCTGAACTACAACTCCCATGATTCTCAGCCTATCTATTTCATTCATAGAATCATGGAAGTTGTAGTTCAGCAACATCTGGAGGGCCGGAGTTTGGGGAAGCCTGGGATAGGTAGTTTATCCCCAAAGGGCAGCTCTAATCATCACATGGGATGAATGAATCTGCTCAATTTACTGATAGCAGCCACACCATGACTGTTGTCAGTTTATAGATATAAAAAGATAGTGGAAGTGCACTCAACCCTTCATCAAGGAATCCAGGGTGCTCCAATGGATAGGTCCCAGTACCAAAGTGGACCAAATATAAAATTATAAATTGTAGAAAATACTCCAGGCACTCCAATGAATTCCAAAGTGTAGGCAATTTTATTAAAACCAGGAACTACACAGCGCTGTGTAGTTCCTGGTTCTAATAAAAATTGCCTACACTTTGGAATTCATTGGAATGCCTGGATTATTTTCTACAATTTATAATGTTATCAGTTTATAGATATTGTTTAGCTAACCAGACGGTTGTTTTGCTCTCAGAATAACGATGAGCATGCGCAATCCACAACTTTTCAGAACTTTTAGAGTGTTTTTTTCTCTTTCTCCCCCACCGTATCCATCTCTAATCCTTATCTTTCTCTTTTTTGTTTAAGCTATATCTCCTACTCTACATCATTAACTTTTTTTTCCTGCAGCATTGCATATGAATTATGCATATTGCACAATATTTAGAAGTAATACGTGTCCGGCAAAATATGGCGGGTCAGGCATAGCGTTACCAGTTTCTCCATGTTTTCCCGACACATATCACTTCTTCATGTCGATGAGCAATGCATGAAAAGTGCTTCCCTGCAGTGGGTACAATTCATTTGAGAATTCCACAATGATGAATTATATGATTTCCCTCCAAGTGCCATTATTTAAATGTTCACTCTTCCAATGCATAACTATTTTTGGTCACGTTATGCTTTGCCTTGGTATTCACTATTTTATGCAAATTATAAAAATGCTAAGGCGGTAGAAACCAAATGGAAGAAACCTTGATGTTATAAAACCACAGCTTGGATTATACTTTGCCTGCAGATGATCTCCGTTATTGACACCCTGTGCCAAGTTATCTACTTTCTCCCTAACTCTCATGGATTGCAGGATAAAATTTACCAGGAAAGGTTAAAGGAACTTAACATGTATAGCTTGGAGGAAAGACGAGACAGGGGGGATATGATAGAAACATTTAAATACATAAAGGGAATCAACACAGTAAAGGAGGAGACTATATTTAAAAGAAGAAAAACTAACCACAACAAGAGGACATAGTCTTAAATTAGAGGGGCAAAGGTTTAAAAATAATATCAGGAAGTATTACTTTACTGAGAGAGTAGTGGATGCATGGAATAGCCTTCCAGCTGAAGTGGTAGAGGTTAACACAGTAAAGGAGTTTAAGCATGCGTGGGATAGGCATAAGGCTATCCTAACTATAAGATAAGGCCAGGGACTAATGAAAGTATTTAGAAAATTGGGCAGACAAGATGGGCCGAATGGTTCTTATCTGCCATCACATTCTATGTTTCTATGTAGATTAATTGACAGGTGGATTCAGTTAGGTTAATTAAATCACATTTTGAATTGCATAATAGGAAAAATGCTGCAAATTACAAGCTTTGCCCATCCCACACATTGTCCAACTATTTAACCATCACAGGAGTGGGGGACATTTCTATTTCTAAGCCACGAACCCTCCCAGGTATGTCTGTGAGGCAGTTTGCACTCCAAAAACTCTCATTGTTTAGGTATTCCATATAGTTTATGCAGTCATCTATTACCATAACACAGGAGAATAATCTGCTGGAACCATTGTAATTTAGAGTATTTTAGTTATGAAGGAGTCTCTATTTCTGCCCTAGTTTTCATATCTGTAATATTTGGTGATGGTAAATGGTGTTCAAGGATTCTGTAGTAAGGAACTAAGTTGGGAGTCATCCCAAAGCTCTTTCTAGATTAACTGATTATCAGTACAAGCAGTGTCTTTCACATACAGCCCATCCATGTATAGACCTATGGAAGAATGGGGAGATTTCAGAGCAAAGCCTATAAAGTGAATGCTTCCTTCCTTGATCAAGCAGGACATTCTGCAATCAAATGCTAATTACAGACCTCAGTTAAATTGTGTATAAATCTCACATTATTTAGGGCTGTGTTTGTAAATGCATCTTTTGGGTTTTTTTTTTTTTGTGTAGTTTGTCCATTAAATTGTAAATTCCTATATAAAAATATTGTTGACTATAATTTTTATGTTCTGTCAGCCTCTGGATGAGGTTGATTGGAGTTGTATGTCTCATTAGCTGCTTAGCAAGTGGCTGCCTCACTGTCTGATTACATCAGATGTATAGTTTAACTCCCACCAACCTCAGTAACCAATCCGTATCCCTGGGAATAATGGGAGGTGGCTATTCTGCACCCATGACATACAGACTATTGCAATCTCACCGAAATTTCAATGCAGCCAAAAAAAAAACTGGGACAATGTAGGGACTACTTTGTCTTGGTAGATAATTTTTTTTTTAGACTCGACAAGTCAGAGCAGTCTGTCGAGCTTTGTCGGTCCCTTTTGCGTTCACTGGTGGGTTCCTCCACAGACCTCACTTGTGCAAGGAGAGCACAGTGCTGACATGGGAGGGAGACGAGATGAATGTCTCTTAAAACCATTTTGCACCATTGAACTAAAATAAACTTTAGTAATGGTGCTTGACCTCTCCCTTAAATAACAAACTTCTTGAGTGCATCAATTGCTTATGTTTAAATAAAGTGCTAAAGTTATAATCTACTAGGAAAGTCTAAACTACTCGCCACCACAGAGTGCACTTTCTTTCAGCATACTGTTCAGTGTGTGACTGCAATATTGCATGGTGAGATTATCCAAGGTTATATTGATAGGAAGGTTACCCAACATACATGAGGGCTATTCACTAAACCTCTAACTTGGGCAATATTGCTGATTTGTTAAAACTAGTCACAACTTGGTTCTTTTTAGAAGGCTTGTGTTAAAGAAAATGTTAAACACCATAACCAGTATAGAACGTTGTAGTGGTTATGGTGTAAGGAGCGCTCTGGAACCCCTATTGTAAGTAATGCTTTAGAATGCCTGGCTTCTTACCAGGGTGCCACTCCCGTCTCCTCTCAGCATAAAATAAAGGAACTCCATGTCTCCTTAGTGCTTTATTGTATTTAAGAGATGTAGTGGATATGGTGTTTGGAGCATTCCTTTAAATTTCCTCATCATGTGAGGCACAATTATGTATATATATTTTTTTTTTTTTTTTATGCCTGTAACTTTGTATTTTTGTCTTCAAATATTGATACAGAATGGCCACGGCAAATGATGAACTACAAAAAATAAGCTTCTCTAACTGGTTAAAAGAGAGGAAGAAATTGCTTGGATATGAACTGCACCACTATTTCTTGATAGAGTATCAGAGGCTAAATAGAATTCCCAGAGCGTTGAGGATTAACCTGCGCCCAGCGTGGTTCTCTACGGACAAAGAGTTCTGTGCCGAATTTGAGGGCATCCTTAAAAAGTGCTCTCTGAAACTCATGGCCCTTACAATGGAACAACTCGTGAAAGAAATAGAGAAATGTAGGGCAGAAATTATACGGCAAGAGGAAGCTCTGGTGAAAATATTCACCGCTGACGAATGGAAATCCTTAAAGGAAAAATCTGAGGACCAACTTAATATATTGCGGTTGGAAATAGGATCGAAGAAGTTAAGGAAGTTCATGCGGGATGATGAAGACTACAGGAAGGGTAAAGTGTACAAGTGGACAGAGGATGCTGTAACTTCAGGAAACTCTTCTAAACCACTTGATCTGAAGAGACCACGGCTCGAAACGATAGACGAGGAAACCGCTTCAGAAGTTGAATATTCAGAGAATGTGTGTGAGTCGTATAAAGAACCAAGCGAGGTCAAACCATCTAGACGAGGAAGGAGACTCAAACGTGAGTCTTTCGTTCTCAGAGGGTCTTCACTCTTAATCTAACAAGGTATTTGTAAAATGGACTCCCATACTTCCTGTCTGCAACACTTTTTTTTTTTTTTTTAATACAGACCACCAAAAAGTTCCACTTTCAGCAGAACAATTCCAATTTTGGAGTTCTGTCCTGCCTTCCTGACTTGGTTCCATAGGCGTGCGCACGGGTTGTGCCTGGGCACATCCTAAGCCCCGCAGCACACGCTAACTGCCTCCCTCACAGACCCACAGCAGCATGGAGGGAGGCAGGAGAGGACCCGGGGAACTCTAGCCAGCAGCTCCGCCAGGTTCCTCTCGCGAGGTCGGAGCGTTGCTGCGGCAACACTCAGATCTCTCGGGTGTAAACTCAAGTCCCCTTTGGGGCTAGAGTTCACTTACCACTGGCCCACCAGGGATGGCAGGAGCAAGGTCCCTCTCTCTACAAAAGGGAAGAAGGGAGGGGGATATTAACTAAACAGCCCCCCCACACAATACACACAGAGCACCCTTACACACACAGCAGTATGTATGCGTGTGTGACATTAGGCTGTTGGTGTAGGGCCTGCCAAAGATGGGGTACATTGATGTTGTGGCAGGCTTATGCAATGTATGATCATATAATGTAACTAAATCCCCATTATTTTTGCCTAGATTAGGTTTTTTTAAAAATCCATCTTTCAACAATGAAGATGCTGTTTAGTGGATAGGTGAGTGCTCTGGATTTTGTGGTGCGTATGTATGTATGTATGTATGTATGTATGTATGTACACCCTTATACAATAGGCTGCACACGCCTATGTTTGGTTCCCTAGTGGCCCAGTCGGTGAGTGGCTCTGCCCACACTGAGCTTTGGCAGTAGCACAAGTTGAATCAGTGGCAAAGCCTGCCCTACCCAATCCATGCCTCCCAATGTTGTGCGCTATAAAACTATGCACTTTGAACTGCAGCCATTTTGTAAGCGTGTCTAGTCCTCTCAGGTATATAAGCACAATCGTTTTTTCATTTACGTTTATCATGGTCTAAAACGATCTTGTGTGGGTTTTTTCTATTTTTAATTTTTTTTAATTTTTTTTCTTTCTCTAAAGCTTTTATTTATGTTCTTCCAGCAGGTTACGATGCTGTATCTTGTAGGAACGGAGTTTCTTGGCTACGTGACTGTTGGACATAAATGTGTACCTGACCGTTCCCCTGCTTAATAAAATAGCTTGTAATTGCTCTGCAAGATTGTATAGAACTTAAAACATTATATAATTTATTTATTTTTTTCAAAGAAGTGTTGTAGTGTAGAGGTGGTATAAATAGTACATATAAATGATCACATATAGATTGTAATGGTGGGGAAAGTCTTGCGACTAAACACAGCTGTGAGATGATGAGAACATGAGTCCTGTACATCTTTCCTGTCTAGCTCAATAAATGCATGCCTTAAGGCTGATATGAAAAAGCTACATGTGCAGCCAATTTAATGACAAACTATGCAAATAAAATAATTATTTTTAATACAACAAATAGCAGTGTTTATTCTCTCCCATCCTCTCTTCGAACGGATTCCCCCTCACATTGTGCTGTCCGCTCAAACAAAACTTCTAATCAGCATAGAGATGACTGGTACCCTGCTTTACCAATACACTCAGCCCAAGTGGTTACACTCTCTCCATTCTGTTATTGAACAGAATGACTATCCTTTGGGAACTTTTTTAAATTTATTTTTTCAGGTACATCTAAAACAATATAAACACTATAATGGAATATACTAAACCTCAAAATACCACTCGCCAAAAGATTCGGTAAAACCAGGACATGGACAAGGGCATGACAGAATTTGCAAGTATGTCACACAGTGAACATAATTGTGGCAAAATGTTTTTCCACCAACAGATGGCGCTGTGCAGCATAATGCCCATTGAGAAGACTGTGTTTGTTGGGTTGTTCTTAGTCCATAAGAAGGTGCAGAATCTAGCCAGGAGCCTTTCTCAATAGAGGCGTGGGCTAATTGTTCCTGGCAACAAAATAGTAAATTCAGCAACCAGCAGGGTCCTCTGTGTGAAAGGTGAAGGGCGCTTCGGTCACAAAGTCCTCACATCCCCGTCCCTATATCTTCTAATGCAGGGGTGAGGAACCTTTGATCCTCCAGATGTTTTGGACTAAATTTCCCTTGATGTTTTCCGAGCATTATGGGAGATATAGTCCAAAACAGCTGGAGGGCCAAAGGTACCCCACCCCTGTTCTAGTGTATTTGCCATATTACCTATAGACTGTCAGGATTAACTATTGATCCCAAAATGCAAACCTAGGTCAGCTTGCCTATAATGGGGAATAGAAGTGTACTACTGGTCCTTAGGGGTGGCTGGGAATAATGCATCGACCATAGTACACATCAGCCCCAGAATGGTCAAGAGGAGCAACAATGTGGGGAACATAGCAAAGTCAGGAGCAGGCTAAAAGTCAAATACCAGGAAGATCAATGAATGAAGGTAACATGCTCCCAGGTTTTACAGAGGATCCTCTCGTATCTTGACTTGTGTCAAAACTAGTCATGGTGGCGCAAGACACTTGGCGTCCCAGCGTTGCTTTGCTGGCGCTAGAATGAACAGGTAACATGAAACACATTCTTATGCAACTTGCATTCAAGCACACAAAATTAAATAGACTCCTAACCAGCCACACACAGCGAGACACTGGTTTTGAATAAGAAAAATGTCTGTTCTAAAAGGTAGCACAAAGATGTAAAAAAAGTGACTCTGGCTCCACTGGTTTCTTCTGAGATTGTCCCACTTTTAGTATCTTAGACCACATTTCAAAACCCACATATTTTATACATAATCCCCTTTCTCTGTGTTTTTTTTTTTTTTTTACTTATCTGCATTCTTACAGGACACTCTAAGCACCAAAACCACTAAAGCTTTATGAAGTGTTCATGTTTAGATTGGTTCCTTGCAGTCTGACAAAGCATTGTTTCTTTGGAACAGCAATGCTTAGTTTGCCTCTATTGCCTGTCAGTCTGACAGCCACTAGATCAGTGGTAGTCAACCTTTTTCCACTTACCGCCCACTAATGCATCTTTCTTGATGGAAACATTTCCTTACCGTCCACCAGTTTTCGCGCAAGCGCGGAATATTTTTTAGAAAGGAGGGTGTTTTAAAAAATAAATGTACGTACATTTATCTTTTTATTTCTACTTTATGCATGTTTATAATGGTTTTTAACTTCATAAAGTTTAATGAGGAAGCGATAAAGTAAATTGAAATTACCTTTTACTAGTGATTAATGAGATCCTTGAGGTTGATGCTGCGAGACTAAATATTTGATATCTGGTTCGATTTTCGTAAGGAACAAACGAAGGTCTCCTCTTTCGGTGGTAATCAGAAGACTTCTTTGTTTGCTCATAAAATGATTTCTTATCTGTGCGTCAGCTCCCTTCCTCTCCCTCCTCAATTCCCCTCCCTACCTTTTTTCCCCTTTTTTCTATTTTTTAACCTTACTTATAGCAATGCCCAGTAGGAAGGCTGAGCTAGGTAGCCCACTTTCTATTATTAGTCAACAACAATTCTCTCCTTTTCCTTTTTTTTTCCTTCTCCTTTTTTACAAGTACTCTGCACCTTCTTTCTTCTATTCTACAAGTACTCTGCTCACAGACAAACACTCACACATACATTTACAGACACACACACTCACAGACAAACATTCACACATACACCTACAGATACACACACACACTCACATAGAAACACATACACACAAATATACACATACTCACACATGCACTTACAGACACACAGACACATATACTTACAGACACACACACACACACACACATACACTTAGACACACACACATACACTTACAGACAAACACATATACACACAAATTCTTAATATTAAATGTCCACCCAGCCTCCCTACCTGGAGAGCTGGTGTGGATCTGTCCCTGGGGTCCAGTGGGGCTGCACTTCGGCGAGCGGCTAATAAGACGCGGCGAGGGAGCTCTAACCTCTCTGCTCTGCTCCCTCGCGGACTGTCTACTGATGCCGGGAGCCGGAATATGACGTCATATTCCGGCTCCCGCGGCATCAGCAAACATCGCGCGAGGGAGCAGAGCAGAGAGGTTAGAGCTCCCTCGCCGCGTCTGATTAGAACTTGTCAGAGTATTTATATCGGCAGACATTTTGTGCTATGATAGAAATTAAAAGTGTATATTCTGAGTCACTCTGAACAGACCAGACTCCATTTTGTTATTTTCAAGTTAACAAAAAGACACAAGATTTCTATCCTATCTGTAAAACTAACCACTTTCCCAGAGCTAAAGGAATGCATAGTATATACAAACCAAGTGATAAGGAGAACGGGGGTTGGATAGACTGTCTAAATGGTAATGGAATAGATCAATTCTAAACCCAGACATTTATGACAGAGAAGATTAAATAATTTAATTTTACTTTCTATATGTATAAGTTCCCATTGTAAGTTATGGGTCAAAACTCAGAATTTGCCAGACACATAGTCTGGACAAAACTTAAAGAAAACCCTTTGAAGTGAAAGGAAATTTAAATTATGACCACGATAAAGATAGGCCAAGATGACGTCAAAATACCCACCAGGAAAAGTTAACTCTTTACTGGATAGGTATGTTTAGTGGGACAAGACTGCCCTCTATAGACCAAATAACTAAATTGCGATCTGAAAGATAACCACACCCCCAGTGTTGCTATTGGTTTATCAACTAATGACGTACAGAGAGTCTGGCCCTTTAAAAGTTAGGACAAAGGGAAGATAGGAGGTATGCAAAGGAGAAGGAAAAAGAGAGAGGAGGAATTGGAAGTTTGGGGACTCCAACTCGGACATGCAGAGAAACCCAGGACAACATCTGAGACTAACACTCTATTCTTAAAACTCTAACACTTAGAATTTTACTGACTTTCTAACCAACACCACCTTTCACCATAACTCATGCACCTACAGACATCCAAATAAGTTCCTGAGACTGTCTACC